GCTGGAGGGGAGGGGCGCGGGAGCCAAGACGGGGGGGGGGGGGGGGGGGGTTAGTCTTGGGGATGAGCCATATCATCATGCTCATCGGTCACCACAAGACGCTGTGAGTTCCTTCTATACAGGAGGGACCCCTGCAGCACCTGCTACATGGAATCTGCAGGCCTGGACGCAGCCGTGTCAGAGGGCACGGGCTAAGTAATGATTGACAGATGGACATCCAGGCTGGTCAGCTGGATAAGTGGCGTTGGTTGCTGGTACAAGAGGTGAAGCGGAGGAGAGCGGATCATGACCATCATGTAAACAATAGCCCTGCCGGACGCAAAAGTAGACGGGCTGGCCTGGGGAGGCTACGCTGTTCAGCTGGCATAGCGAACCCCACATGGCCACTCGAAGGTAAGATGGTCAAACAAGAGCCTGCAAGCTCGGTGTAATTGCTATTCGATGCGTGGGAGTGATGGGGTCTACGGGGATTTATCAGAAGAGGGGTCGGTGGTGTGGATATGAGAAGGGAGCCATCTGTTGGGGTCATTTTAGGTTATTAGGGGTGACCCAATTAAAAAGTTAAGGGTCCATGTAATCCTGGGGGTCACTGATGAAAGCGGTCACTGTGGCAGGTCGGGGTAGTCAAAGGTCACTGATGAACAGTCACTGTGGCAGGTCGGGGTGGTCAGGGTTCCCTGATGAAAGCGGTCACTGTGGCAGGTCGGGGTGGTCAGGGTTCCCTGATGAAAGCGGTCACTGTGGCAGGTCGGGGTGGTCAGGGTTCCCTGATGAAAGCGGTCACTGTGGCAGGTCGGGGTGGTCAAAGGTCACTGATGAAAGCGGTCACTGTGGCAAGTCAGGGGTCACTGATGAAAGTGGTCACTGTGGCAGGTCAGGGTGGCCAGCTTCTTGCTTGAGGTAGCAACAACTATACCCAGGGCTCATGATGTGCAATGTATACTGTGGGAACACCAGCCTGGGTCATGATGGGTACATGCTTCCCATAGGAAGAGCCGGCAAGTAATGGAAAATGGGGCTTTGGCAGCATAAGAGTTCATAAACCCAAGGAGCCATAGTGAAGATGCCACGCCATGACCTGCCATGTTGAAAATACAGTAGACCCTCCTAAAAAGGCACAGTGAGAGGACTGGTCCTGACAGCAAGCGTGCCTAGAGGGTGATAGGAGGAATGACCAGTCAGACAAGGATCGGTGCACCCATACTTGCAGAATACAACCAGCGTGTGCCCGAGGGTGGGGACCACGTTTGCTGAATGGTACCCAATTTAGAAGGGAAAGCTCATTAGCTAAGGATATTAAAAAAAATGTAGACTGAAATGCCAACTTGTCTACAGGGCATGGCCCAATGTCAGGTGAAGGACCAGTGTGCCAAGGATAGGAGATGACTGGGCAATGGCTGGCAGCTATCACCGTGCTCTGGTGGAAACAATGGCATCTGTACCAGCTAAGGGTCATCATGCCAGTAGGGTATGAGCATAGATACATGTGTCAGGGAATGGCATTATCATAAGAGGTGGGAGTTCCTGGCAGATGTCAGTAGGCTCAGAGGGTGACAGGCGTACCAGTTCCAGTGCCCAGAGGGCGACACTGGAGTATGCCACATCCAAGCAAAGTGCCTACAGATAAAAGACAGATGTGCCAGTGGTGGTGCCATGTGCCCAGGGGGACGAGGGCAGATGTGCCAGGGGGGAAAAGGAGGGCAGATGTGCCAGTAGTGGTGGTGCCATGTGCCCGGGGGATGAGGAGGGCAGATGTGCCAGTGGTGGTGCCATGTGCCCAGAGGGGATAAGGAGGGCAGATGTGCAAGTGGTGTGTCAGGAGGGCAGATGTACCAGTGATGGTGCCCTGTACTCAGAAGAGATGAGGGCAGACGTGCCAGTGCTGCTGTGTGCCCAGGCAACGAGGAGGGCAGTTGCACCAGTAGTGGTGCTGTGTGCTTAGGAGTGCAGATGCACCCAGAGAATGATGGGAGATGCCAGCCCCTTGTAGTAGTGTGGCCAGCACATGAGGATGCCACATAGATGCACCAGTGACGGACCAGTGGGTGACGAGGGCTGTGTGCCCAGGGGGTGACAAAGGCTGTGTGCCCAGGGGGGTGACTATGGCAGGCCCAGTCAGCGGACATTGCGCCCAGGCGGTGATGACAGGAGATGTCCTCCCTCCTCCAGTGCAGCGAAGGTACAGAGGGCACAGGGCTCACCTGCTGCTGGCTGCTCTGCAGCGTCTCAGCCTCCCGGTGACGGCCCTTCCGCTCTCCGGCATGCTCTCATTGAGCGTCCCGCTAGTCTCCCCCATGCTCCATCGACACCCGAACTGTGTAACCCGCTCCTCACCGACACAGCCAAGCGACTAACAGCCCCACTGACACCCCGCACAGCGCAGCGCGAGGGAGGGCGGGGCCAGCGCGCCTCACACCAGAGCGGACACTACCAAGCCGACACAAGAGGGGAGAATAGTGGCGCAGAGCGCCCTTCCTGCAGCGGGGAAAGGAAGCATTATGTGAAATCAGCCCCCTGTTCCCTGCAGACACGTGGTAGGCGCTGAGAGTCAGACTGACAAGGAGACTGACCGCTAAAAAAAAGGAGCCCGAGGGGCCGCGACCAATCAGGGAGATGTGGGTGGGATCACGTTCTATTTGTAGTGTGTCTTTGTGATAACGCGCTCAGTCAGTGTCAGTGTGTGAAGGACAGATGTGTTGCATTTTCTAATAAGTGAACTGACTGAGAGTGTATCCTTCCCCTTGTGTGAGGAAGATGGATATACAGCCGGTCAATGAGCTGCTAATGACTAATTATACATATAACGGTCTTAAAGCCAGCCATTAAGTGTCAGAATTAAAAATAAGCATTTCTGGAAAACAAACAAGTGAATACCATGACAACGCCGCAACATTCCTGAGAAACAAAGGGGCACCGACACTTCCCAGGGTGTCGACCCCTTTGCAATCTGTGATTTCTCCCTTTGACCTCCACTCATTACGGGACTCAGTAGTGACAGAACGTCGGAGGAAGAATCCACTGTATCCCAGGGGGACACCTCCAGTAGCACGGCTTTCCTTTCAGACGGAATTCTGCAGCCACGGATTTCCCATGAACGAAGCGGTAAAGGCATTTGCTTCTTTCTTTTCCAGGTTCTCCTATTTTGCAATGTGATACTTACCCAGATAGCAAGAAATTGAGCTGCAAGTTTGAAAATGACTTGCTAAACTATTGCAGACTTGCCAAGCTTCACAATTTTGTTGCACAATTACAGCAAGTCTGCATTGCAAGTCTCCAGACCAGCGAGCTTGCAGAGCTCTTGCTAAGACCTGCAGGACTCTTGCTGTAGACTTGCCAAGCAAATTTGCTACAAATTCAAAAAGTGTCAACTAGAACGTGTGCTGCGAGTGTTCTGCAAGTCTACAACTTGCCAGGAATGTGTGCGGCAAGTTAACAAGAATTACAATTTAACCCTATCACAAGTTTGTGGCAAGTTATCCTTGCTATCTGGGTAAAGGATAAGCACAACCAATATTAACACTTCTGCCATTTTCATTTCCTCCACTTTCTTTATTTACTTATTGATTTGCTGCTGGGAGAGATTTTCCTTCACTTCCTTTGTAACAGGAAGTTAGAGGAAATCTCCCAAGTGAGGATTTTGTCCCTTTCCTGTTTCAGTCTGTCATTTCTCCGGCTTCTGTAGCCAAGGAATAAGGGAAGAAAATGCCACGCTTCACCAGCTTCTGTGGGGTCCATAGAGGACAATATGAGTCTAATAGACCCCTGATGTCTCCATAAAGAGGACCGGTCACTTCCTCCGTGCTATCACATAGGGGTCCCCGTTTATGATACATTGCCTTTTTTTATTTCAAATACCTATCACCTTTTTCATCCTTATTTGCATCTCAGTTCTTCTGATCCACTTCCTGTCTACACGCGCTCCAGTGATGGCTGCGTAGCATTTCCCAGGGAGGTTTTCCTGGTGATAACGTGGACCATGCCTGCGTAATGTTTGCCGAAAAGGCCACTTGTAGTTTCCATCGGACCCCCATGTGACAGCGTGACAACGTGGGAGCTCATTTGGAAGAAAAGGATGGAGTGCTTTCACCCTATAACAGGAAGTGCCTTAATAAGGACCTTTGTAGCAGGATCACCAAGGATTATTGTAATGAAAGCTGCAGATTCAAAAATATTGAAGTGAAGACCCCCCCACACTCCCAAAAACGCGTTGGGTTTCTTTTTTTCCTGTTGATCTTTTAATAATAAAAACACTGTTCTGGACTCCATTATTGTTGTGGTGCCCCTACTGCCTTTGACTTTGTTCAGGACCTCCCCCTTGCTTTGTGATTGCACTTGATTGGAACACGGCATTGCTGTGCCACATGTTCTAGCGCCGACGATCGCACTGCAGGTGGGGGAGGGGGCGTGGTGGTTTATTCAACTCAATGGCCCCGCAGCCACGCCTCCTCCCGTCCCAGAACGCAGAGAGCCGGACAGTATTCGAACCAGTGTAATCCAGCAGCTAACCGTGCTGGAACGCACTGGAGATGGTCTGAACGGGGGACCCTTCGGGTGTCTCCCTTCACTTGCAGGGTCCTATGGAGCCACTCTTTTGTGTGCCAGTAAATTGTGTATTGGGGTTATTCCCTAAGCTGCCGAAGGCAACCGAGTGAATAACTGAGCCAAAGTGAAGTGAGCTGAACACCGTTCGGCTATTCACTTCAGCCCTGTGCGGCTGATTCCAGACATCGGCTGGCTCCGGCTACCTTCGGTTCAGCTGAACATGCTAAGCATATTCGGCTGAATGGAAGTGCCGAACGTGGTCGTCTCAGCCAATCCAACATCTGGATTGGCTGCTGTTCACTCGCTGCTGTTCGCCCCTTTTCTCATAGGGGCTGAACGGCAGTGAGTCAATAGCCAAATGCCGCCGAGCCTCAATAAAAAAAATGTGAAAATACCTGGTCCCCATGGATTGACAAATATTCGGCCCCAAGCACTTCTCGCCGCCTCTGCACTGTATAAAATGCACTATATACAAATGCCGCCGAGCCTCAATAAAAAAAAATGTGAAAATACCTGGTCCCCATGGATTGAAAAATATTCGGCCCCAAAGCACCCCTCGCCGCCTCTGCACTGTATAAAATGCACTATATACAAATGCCGCCGAGCCTCAATAAAAAAAAATGTGAAAATACCTGGTCCCCATGGATTGACAAATATTTGGCACCAAGCACCCCTCGCGGCCTCTGCACTGTATAAAATGCACTATATACAAATGCCGCCGAGCCTCAATAAAAAAAATGTGAAAATACCTGGTCCCCATGGATTGACAAATATTTTGCCCCAAGCACCCCTCACCGCCTCTGCACTGTATAAATTAATTTACTATTCTCGTCTTGAGGGACGCCCTTTTGTACTTGCATATAGCCCGACTCCTTCTTCCTCTTCTAACACCGGACCCCTCTACCACCTCTCTGCCTCCTCCTCTTTCTGTATGTCCCCCCCCGCCCCATGTTGCACTGTCTGTGATTTGTGGTGCCGGTACCTGAATAATTGACCTGTTGACCGAATGCAACACAAGACACTGCCTAGATACCGAATTCTTCTGGTACCCCACATATATTAGTGCCCCAACGGGTATTATGGAACTGGATCCACGTACTTTCTGCATCACATTCCTAAGAAAGGAAGTAGCTGCAGAGCCTTCTATCTAGTTTGATCCATATATCACACACTGAGATCGTGTATTGTGCTAACATTGAATAAGTATTTACTGCTTTTCATCATTGATTGACGTCCAATTCCTCCCCGCTGGGCGCTGCAGGGAGGAGAGCAAGTGATAGCCGGCCGAGCGCTGCGGGAAAGATACCGCCGTGTGCGAACGGTGTCTCTCCTCCCACACCGCTCAGCCCCCTATCACAGCCCACGCTGTCACAGGAGGCTGAGCTCCCCTCCGTGCACTGCTCACTCAGCCTCCTGTGACAGCGTGTCAGAGAGGAGAGCGAGCACTAGATAATTGAGGACAGAGTATGGTTACTGTGTCCTCAATTATGAATGAATGGGAAGTGTTCTACATCCTCTCCTGTTCATTCATGATTGTGGTTATAGTAAACACACTATGTCCTCATGTTATCAATGAACAGGAACACTCATAGAGATAGAGGACTTTGTGTTCTGTGTTCTCAATCTCTTGTTCTATTTTAAAAGGGAAATATCAGTAAAAAAAAATTCTGCCCCAGGCGCCCATAACTCTGGTAACGCCACTGTCCAGAGGTTGTAACCACTCACTGCCGGAAATTCTATTTCTATGTAGCCTCTACTTTGAAGTGTCCTGTTGTCAAAGTTGCCGTCTAGGCACCGAGTGCTGTACTGTATTGTTTCTTGTGATGAAACCAATAAAAATTTATATAAGGAAAAAAATGTGAAAAAAAACAGCGTGGGGTCCCCCTCCTGATCCATACCAGACCCTTTAGGTCTGGTAGGAAAGTTAAGAAGGACCCCAAGTTAAGGGAACCCCCCCCAAGTCATACCGGGCCCTCACTTTAGGTCTGGTAGGAATTTTAGGGAGGAACTCCACCCCCCAAAAATGCAGGGGGAACGTGGGGGTCCCCCCTAAAATTCAAAACCAGACCCTTAATCTGAGCACAGGCCTGGCAGGGCAGGAAAGGGGAAGGGACGAGCGAGCCACATACCCTTGGCACTGGGAGGGTGCTTTTCAAGGGTCCCCCTGGAAAAACACCTTGTCCCAATGGGGAGAAGGGCCTCTCCATCGCAGGCCCTGGGGCGTTGGTTGTCTGCAGGCAGGGGGGCTTATTTGCATCGGGGTACCCCTTAAATTAAGGGGCAACCAGATGCGCCCCCCCCCTTGTGGATGAGTAAGGGGTACTTGTTCCACTACCCATTCACTAAAGGGTTAAAGTAAAAAGTAAATAAACAGACCACACTTTAAAAAAATCCTTTAATTAAAAAAACAAAAAACGTTTTTGACAATTTTAAAATTCGCAAAAATTGATCCACAGGCGTAATCCAAAAGTCAATCACGACATCCAGCGTTGTCCACGACGACTCCTCGTCGAAATAGAAAAGAAAAACGACGGCCGCCTGCCCCCCGACGAATTGCCGCCGCAAAATAAAAGTCTGACAGATGCCGGCAAAATGTAAACAATTGGATGGAGCTAGTGGTGACATCACGACTGACACCGCCCATTTATTTTCATTTTGCCGACACTTGCAATAGCGATTTGACAAATGGCAGCAAAATGTCAACAGATAGGCGGAGCCAGCGGTGATGTCACCACTAGCTCCGCCTGTTTATATTTTGCCGGCATATGTCAGATCGTTCATTCTGTGTCGGCTGCGGGCGGCAGGTT